ATAGTGTGGAACAAATACAATACTAAGTGCAATGTACCCCAGTATATATTTTCCATAATTATGCAAGTGGCAAGATAATTTATCTAGCAGGTGCAAACAAATTTGACGTACAAATGTCTTAGATTTATAAGCTTCAGATTATAAACCTTTATGACGGGAATCTCTTTACTGTGTTTCTGTTTAAAAAGAATTTGATATTGGTACAATATACAAATTTACAATGCTACTTTTTCCTGCCATCCGATAAACATTTCTGTTAACTATTTGTTCTGTGATTTCAACAATTTTCACTGAAGTTTGAGATCTTGTATGAGATACGGTTGAGCGAATACTGTGTTTTCTCTATCAACAAAATTTGTTTTGATTTTTATCCTTGAAGCGCACAAAACAAAACAATTTGCATATTCCAAAAAGATATATATATATATATATAGATTCACAAAAGGACAAAATATTTCACCAAATGATTTTGCAGGAAAATTTTTTTTAATGGTTAACCTGATTTTAACTGTAGACCTTAAAATACATTTTTATTTTAAGGTTTAGATTTTACCCAAAGACAAATTTCTGGTAGAGAAAATATAGTACAATACGCTGTCATCTCTGTTATCTGGTATTTGTTTAGAAGCTTCGTTAAAAATGCAGTTCTGTAGTAGAATCTGTGAAGACAAAATTTGGCAAAAATTTCCAATCTACATGAACGATTTATCAACCTGTGAAAAGGGAATGAGAATTGTGATAGAATGTTCTGAATACTGTAAATTGTTTTAATTTCGCAAACGAATATTCACAATTTGCAAAAGTCGAAAAATCATAAAATTTGGTTGCAGTGAAAATTTCTCTATGGTCCATCTTTCTTGAAATGTTGTCTTCATTAATTCAATAAAATTATCAAATTATGAAAAATCATTTCAGCAAAAATTAAGCGGTTTACAGTAAAGGTATTCCAAAAGTACATTGAACTGGTTAAAATATTTGAACTAAAGGGGACGCCAACACCTTGTATCAGTGTCAGAGATACAGAAAGTTATGTAAATTATCAATCCCTGGTGTTGATAGCAAATTGTAGTTGGAAGTGTGCAGAGCATTATGGGATAGGCTAGATGATTATATGTGCAGCTACAATACATTTTCAAAGAAAGTTTTTATAATTCAGGTTTATAGATAAAAACGCAAGATTTTATGTTAAAATTTGCACCCATTTAAGAAAAATATATATTTTACAATTTAAAAAAAGGAAAGCCATTCTAATTTTCTGTTAAAAAAAAATCCAGGTTCGGCATAATGGTATTCATTTGGCTTCCAAATTGAAAATATGTTGTTTGTCACGTTGGAACTTTCCGTACTGCCAATCAGCTGTGTGATATGAATTTGACAGGTGATGATGAAATCAGGGTAATTTCATTTTTTATATCTTAATTCTTGCATGATTTTGTGAGTGAACTATTAAAATATTTTGATCTTTAAAATGTGGTTGATATGAGCGCAACCATTTGGTGTGTGATAGTGCATTTCTAAATTGTGGAATATTGATTTTTAATCGAGTGCAAAAAGACATGAATTCTTTTTCAACTTCATGTTGGAGATTTATTTACATTATCTTTGCGTTGTTTTTGAACAAAGTTATAAAAGTTCATTTGGCACTCGTAGAAAGCTTGCAGATAAATTGTTTTGCTGACTTCATAGATGCAATTAACTAGTGCACAAATTATGGGATGTATCTCCCAAGATGCTTTGCGGCAGGGGAATTGATGAATCTGCATACTGGCATTCTTGATAAATTTCAGACGAGTTTCACTTCAGTGTGTAATATTTTTGTGATATTTTGTGTCTCTGTTCATTACCTGCCATCTCTAAAACTTAGTCTGAGAAATCTTGAATTCAAATTCACCCACAAGCTGCTGGACAATCTGTATACTAGTGTGTAAATCGTATCTTGTGATCATATTTTACATTTGCAAGAAACTCACTATAACTATATATATATACTTGAACGCTTTTTCTGTCTCAAACAAATCATGTTGAATTATGACAAGAAAATTATAGATGTTCAATGTTTTTGATTATTGGGAAAGATGGTGTATATTTTAAAGGCATATTTTTTTATGATTCCTTAAACTTGTCTTTTGGTGGAAATTTATGTACTCAAGTTAAGTCGTGATAGCATGCACAATTTAAATCTCAAAGTTCTCCTAAATCCTTGTAACTTGTGTTGACTGGATATTATGAAAGTCGTGCCTCAACAAGTGCATTCTGGGATATGGAGTGAGAGAATTCATTTTTAATAACAAAACTACAGATTATTTTTTTTTTTAGAAACTCTTCTATTTAGTGTTTTTCTGTACTGATTTTTTCAATGGGAACAACATATCCAAAATTATCTTCTATGTATAGTTCTATGTAAGTTTTTGTATTATTTCCAGTGTAACAAGGTTCAAATATTCACATCAGAACATTATGTATCCTGTAAAATGTTTACTGAAAACCACTTTAAAACACATGATTTTCATGTTAAAGATTTTCACAAGTCAGACAAGGAATCCACCAAATTTTTTAGCAGTGAAAATGTCACTGAATTTATTCTTTTTCAAATTATCAGATTTATAGCAGGAAAATTAAACTTGTATTCCAGCATTCTTATAACTTGCAACAATTGTATTACAAAACTGGGTTTAAATTTTATTATGGTAGCTTTCCAACACCATTCACTTAATTAAAACTAAAAACATGAGGAACAAAAATATTTTTTTGTTAATCTTTATTTTATTTCATATTATGTATATTATATTTTAAGTGTTTATAAAGGTAGTACTTGGTAGTTTGATTTGATTATAAGTGTGCATTACAATCGACAAAATAAATCTGCTGTTTCAAGCAACTTGTCGTACTGTCTCTAACTTGCCCCTTCCCCTCACTGTGCATTTAATAGAACAGTCTCAAATAGTATGTCAGCCAGCAATACCATCTCTCTTACTGTCAGATTGAAAATTGATTCCCAACAATTAGTGTACAGTGATTACTTTTTTTGAAAATTAAAACATGTTTAAATTATCACATGGAAAAGTGATCGAGGACACCCAGACTTTTGCAGGCACCAATTTTTTAGCAATCTAATTGAATTAAGTCAGAAAATGCATTTTTCTATTAAAAATCAGGAAAAAATACAACATGCCACCATACAGCAAGAAATGGAAAACTCCTGTTTTAGTTTGATTTGCCTTTTAGATATGTTCACAGTGAACTATTTAAACTGGCGTCTCAATTTTATATACGATTTTGAATTAAAAATGTCACAAACCTGATTTTAGTGACTTATGAAACATCTATTTTCTCCAAAACCCTTGATTTTGTTTCCCTGCCAAAATTGTCATGGCACACTGGAGGCTGGTAAGTATTGTAATAGTACCAGCATTCTGATTGGTCAACCATGCTCCCAAGTGCTTTGTTCTATTTTCCTGTTCACTTGGTTACCAGATGTCAGCTCCTATGCCCCAATCACAGGGAGAGGCCATATATATAGTAGAGGTTCCCTTTTACTTTAAAAAGTTGCAGCTAATATAAAACTGTGTGTGTGTCGTCACTTTCTACAAACTGCTGGAACCATGAGAAATCTGAGCAGGCAGGATGAATAGAGTTGATGTTATTGCAATATTACAAACACATATTTTTACATAGAACAGAAATTGGAATTCATTAAAGTACGTCACATGCTAATGAGCCACTTTTCCAGATACGATTGTGATTAATAATTACTCGCTGCATCCTATTTGTCATTCCCAAGAAATGCAGGGAATCAACCAACTCCTAAACCAAGTTTTAGCAGGTACTTTCTTTGCCATATTCACATACTCGGTAACAGTCAGTGACAAAATTTTAATAATTAAAGGACTCTGATCATTCACAAGTACGTGCTTAATTTTCATGTTGCAACAACAACCGCCTTTTAATAATTGACACCGGGAAGATTTTACAGCAAAGTTATTATAACATGGACAGTATTATCAAGGAAATAGTTTATTTCTGCAACAATGTTAGTGATGATACAAGCAAAAAAAAGCTTTTCATTTCATTGTCTTAAAACATTGAGGACATTGGAAGACTGATAACAGTAATCAATAAAAACACTTACTGGCATAAAATGATAAATTCATTTCTAAAAGATCTTTTCTAACTTCAATGTATTACATAAAAGTTAGTCCACATAAACATTATTTAAAATGGAATAACCCTGATAGAAAAATAGTTTTGACAATTGTTTCTAGTAGCTTTTGAAATATTATGACAAATCAAATGGAATAATTAGTGTAAATATTTTTTAATATTGATCTTTCTCTGTACTCAATAACCATCATTAAGACCAGAATATATTTTGTTTATTTTTTGTGTGTGAAACATACACTTTTTTTTCACTTTGGATTGAAAACTTTGAAACATATGTAAATTTGCAAAATCGTGCAAGCAATGAAAATTCGGATTTCTCACGTGATAGTTCATAGCACCAGTTAATTCTGTTTCAAAATGGAAGAACGATTTAAAGAGTGTTATCTCAAACTGATATATTCAGGTTAGTGAAGGTTCTTATAATTGAGGGTTCTTAGACTGTTTTCAATTTCTTAATATATATATTGTTATTTCTACAATTTTATAGAAATGATGTCCAGACCAGTACTCAGGTACCCTGGTGAGTTGATTTCAGGCAAATCTTAACATTAAATATTGCATAAATTTCACAATCCTTGTCTTTGAAAATTGAAAAACATAACCCTAGATATCATGGATAATAATATCATGGATATGTTTGACTGTACTATGCAATGCATCATTGGAAAATAAGATTCATTTGGAATTTGCTCAGCCCATATGCTATGTAGGAACGGTTGTGAATGCCAAGCATTCAAATATTAGAGAGGAAATTACACAGATACTGAATCTGTTTATTTGAAATGTCAAGGATTCACTAATTTTGAATCAAACCACAAAAATAAATGCCATCAGTAATCTCCATACAGGCTGTATAATTTTTGAATGAAACTGGTGAAGGACCCATTAAATTAAAACCAACATGGTCACCGTTCTGCCATTTTGAATCAAATCACACATAAAAAATTAACCCACCATGAGTAATGTTCATCAAGTTTTAATAAAACTGACCAAGACATGCCTGAGAACCGCTGATGACATGTTGTTTTTTTGGACTAAAATGGCCACCAGTTGGTCAGATGTCATCCAAATAAAAAAAAAAATCAACATGCATATATGTACCATTATTTTCATGTTCTTGTACCTTCTTTGACAACCATGTCTTAGAAATGGTTAAAAACACAAGAAAATGAAACACAAAACAAACTGATGTTCATAACAAGTCTGAATTTTGTGATGAAAATTTTCTCAAAATCCAAAAATACCTGAGCAGATCATGTAACCAATAATATCTTGTCATTGTACAAAATTTAAACAAAATCTGTGAAAGTGCATCTATGAAATAAGTAGGAGTCAGCATTTTGTGAAACAAAATGACAGGCATCACCATCAGTATGCCTGAAAAACTATTGATTTCTAAATGTTGATTTTTAATGTTTTTAAGGACAAATAGTCCACACACCATTTGACATACTGGTACCAACAAACAATACTAATCATGTAAAATATCTTTGGAAAGCTTGGAGTGAATTTTTTAAAAATTGTTGCTTTTCCAATATTTGGAAGGGTCAAAGTTCACTTGATAATATAAATTGCAATTTGAATGGTTAATGTCACTTGTATGTATATTTCAATTTATGTGCATAATTTATTACTAGAGACCTCAAACTTTCTAGAATAAAATGTAAAACAATCCTCACCATCGAAATAAGTACAGCGCCACACATTGACCTGATTTGAGCACATGCAAATATAGTTCTTTTTCGTCTTTACTTCAATTTTCATGATTTTAGTCTAAAATGGCTTAAAATTATGATTTTCACACAGGGATGGACATTAATTAATCAAAGTGTATATATTTGTACAGTGAAATGACAAGCATAAACATGATCAAATTGGGTAAAGTATTGTTCAATGTGACAAGTGATTTCTCTACCTTTCCCCATATGTCTGATATATCTTTCAGTTTAATAGTACAATGAGGAACCTTGTATAATATATCAAATGACATATCAAGTGTGAATCCATTGTGATTCCCTGTTTATCATGTCAACGAAATAACTTACCGCTACACCAAAATTATTTGACGTTTACAAGAATGCTTGGCAAAAATTCATTTTACAGGGATATAATAGTCCAAAAACAAAAACTTACTACTGGTAAGCTGTAAATTATTGCTGCTATAAAATACATTTTTCAAGATGTTAGGGAAATTTTGAATCATTTTCTGTGATATTTTAATGGCAACGTGTCGCACACAGAGAACATAATGTAGAGAAGTCAGTGCATATTTTATCGACCAAGCTGGCCATTATTGTGCTCATCATTTCTCTGACTCTTTATTCATTTACCATCAACGTTATCAAATCTTAATTTTAAGCCATTTTGGATTTAAGTTGATCAAATTTTTGTGAAATTATAATGGAAAAAAACATGTATAAATTATTTTTAAAATAAATTATAATACAGGTGGCTCTGTGCAATATCCAAGAAAGCCAATTATTTTTAGTTTATTCTAAAATGAGTATTGACTCTAGTTGTACAATCACCCACATAAATGTAAAACAGTTTTGGGCATAACCGCTAAAATTACAATTCACAATAACAGGTGAACTTTGACCTCTTCAAATTTGATCAAGCTACTGATTTGACCAGTGTAGCACACATTTCTTAAAAAACACCAAACATCATTGGTATCCCAAGTTGGTACATAATCTTTCAAAAAATGAACTTGGCCTGTGAACTAAGAGGTTACCCAAATGGAAAACAAACCAATGTGCCTATGTAGTCTGTTATAATTTGTCTTTGCACTAACTTTGAATGAAATTGATCCACACATGTCAGAAAAACAATGCATGATGGACACACAAAACCCAAAACATTAGTTCCTGTTGCAGACCACATCTGGTGGGCACTAAAAAATGTTGGACATTTGAGGCATTACTTTATTTTCCCTTTCTCAAGAATGAACCTTAGTGTTACTAGAAAGCCCTCCCACAATTCATAATTATTTATAGTTAAAAATAAAAGAAAATGTTCTTTCACTTTTGCTGATCATAAATATATTTTATGGTTTGTTTAAAAAAGTAGCATTTTAATTGCACTGACCAATATTAAACCCTCAAAACTGCACCCTCTAGTGGTGACCTTGTGACCTTTACATGGAGAAAATTTGCATAAAATAAACAACTTTTTTTTTACCCACTCCTGTGTGTCATATATTGGACTTCTAGTAAATTCTGCCATGGATCAGGTCAACTGAGGTAGATAGCAGCAGGCATTATAATCCTTTGTTAAAATACACTTTGTTGATAAGGTCACCATATTTTAATTGCAGTTCTTTTCTGACTTCCGGCTCCAAATTACTGACTTTCATGGAACTGAAAAAAAAAAAATTCTAAACTTTAATGGTGGTTTTGTTTCCAGTACACTACCAACTCTTACCAATGGTTGCATGAATTGCGCCCTCACAGACAACTTTGGTTAGTAGTTGTCATAGTTGAGGGAGCTGTTTACCAATAAGGGAGCTGTGATATTTCATTAAAGGTCTAACATATGTAAAATATGAAAAAATAAATGCCAGAATTTTGACAGTGGGTCACAAAAAACATTGATTTATGGCTATGGGGCATTAAACAAAATACAGGGGTCAATCCGGTGACACTTATGACCCAGTAAATCTTCACTGCAACAAAATTTATAAATTTCATTTTGAATAGTTATTTACGATAATGATTACTAAATATTTTTTAATTATATCTTACAAAATTCCTCAATTATTTCCTGACTTACAAAATTTGCGAAAATTAAAATATAAAATAAAGAGTGTACTTACCATTTTTGTGGGAACAGGGAGCAAGCCGCTGGTGTCATAAAACACAGACTGAAAAATAAAAACCAATCAAACTTAAAAAAAACTAAAATTAATGTATTTAGAAATAATTGCTTTGATAGATTAGGTTTAATTTTATTCACCGATATCTGCGACAACAGGAGGAAAACATGGGTGTTGTATTTTATGCTGCCATGGATACTTACAAACAACCAACCAAAAGTATTTGTATTGGAGCATGGAGGATCTTTATTCTTCTGAAAGATGGATATTTCTCAAGATATTCCATAATTATTGGTAAAATAACTGAAAGGCAAGTAACGATGGTAATTAGAACACTCACACCAATATATAAAAAATTATTACACTGTATCAACTGTATTAGTGGAATCAAGTAACGACCTATACAAGTTTTATATTTTGTTATGAAATAAAATAACAGCACATTCAATTCATGTGTAGGATACTGTAAAATACTTTATTTTAGCTGGAATTAATTTTCACTGAAAAGACTTTTTGGGTGTTTTGAATGGAATTTACTTTCACTGATTTTTGACGAGTTAAATGTAAAAACATAGGAAAAAAGCTATATTCGCTGGATTTTATTTTTACTGAATCATTCCTTCAGCTAAAATTAATTCCAAATGAAAATAATGTATTTTACAGTAGGTGCTTTACAGAAAGGTATAAATAGGTGTACCGTTGACAAAAGAGAGAATTGCAAACAGGAAATCCTAAAATATCACATGACCATTGTACATATCATTCACAGTAGTGATATTTCACACTAAATAGGTGAATATGCATGCTAACCTTTTCACCACCAGAATTTCTCGTCTAAATTATCCTGCACTTTTTTCTTATATTCATAAAGTTTCAGAAAAATAAACCCTAATTTTCGAACCAACAGACAAAATTTGAGTAAATTTTCAGTTTTTACTCAAAAGATTTTTCAATTTTCTGTAGGAAAGTGCAGACATAAACAGGACTATTTTGTGAATCTGTGGTGAAAAGAGGGAACAGGTGGTGAAAAGGTTAAACATCCTCAGTATGTGTAGACAGTACAGTACGTAAAAAGAAAACTAAATCATGTGACAGTATAATTTTTTTATTGCTGCGATATAATAACGATTAAAAGTTTATTTTGAAAAAATATTGTGAAAAAGAATAATATTTCTGACAATTTTCATAACAATTTGCAGCCATAACTACAAATAGCATAAATAAGCAAATGATTAAATAGCATAGATTTGTAAAATAACGATTTCTCTTTTGTTTTGACATTTAGAGTTGGTCATGTGATACAAAGATAATTGCCTGATATCACTTGTTAGTAGAGCTGGTTTATACTTACAGCATCATTGCTGTACTGTCCATTCTCCCTTAGTTCATGTATAAAACCCCAGTACGGTAAAATCTGTATTAGAAGCCAATATAGAAGCCATTTCCATTCTCTTTGAAAACCAAAAATTCACCATTTGTTATATGTGTAGATGCTTTAATAGAAACTGCGTCCTTTTTGTTGC